TTTTAGCCAATCATGCCGCGATGGACGATTTAGAATAAAAATACCTCACGTGCGTTCAACTTGGACGATCGTGAGAAATATATCCACTCGTTGGACGATCTTGAGAAATACCCTTCCTGATTCGCTTAATTTATGCGGGACAGAGGGAGTAATTGGAATTGCAATGTACAGTACAAGTAGTCCTTGTCCTTTGCAGGGATGTAAAATCCCGATTACTTCGCCAGACAAATCAGGTTTAAGGTTTTAATCATTAAAACCCGATTCTTGGGTATTGAAACCATGGTTTTATTCCGGGTAGTAGTCGAGGCTGGCATGATCGGAATCACTATCGCTTGCTTTGTCGTCGCCGGTCGGACAATGTAGAACGCACCCATGTTGCTCTTGATGAACACGAGCTTCTCAATCTTAGCGCTCAGGGAGTTCCTCAGCTTGGATGGATGAAGCCCATCGTTCAGAAGTTTCGCTCGGAATCTGCACTAGTCGTCGCCAAACTAATAGACGGATCGCGACGCTTTGCAAATCGGCCCACTGACATCCATCGATATTGTTGTCGTCGGCGATGTCGCTTTCGATGTCGATGACGATGGCCAACGCCTCCACAACTTAGTCGGATACGATCACAGGTGCAATGGAAACTGCCAATTGCCCACCTCTCAACAAGGAGCGATCTCTGCACCCTATTAAAACCCGATTTTCGGAATAAAACCCGATTTTGTACGAGTTAAAACAATCGGGTTTTATCTTTACTGTTAACACCTGAAAAAACTCGATTGTACAAGACTAGGGACTGGCCACCTTTTATTGGTCCGTACGAATAGAGGTCAATCAGGCGCATTCTTCCAATTCGTGAGATTTTGACCAAAATAACAACTCTGAAACGGTCAAAATAACTTCATTCCCACCACCACCATCATTATTGCACACAACGAGTATCTTCACCCTCGACGTTGGAATTCAGCCGAAGCCTCAACCGACGTGTTCCAACTATCGTATCCGGAATGGACCCTTCGTCATCGCCACGGCACTGAGAATGCATGTTTTATCTGGACGTTTTGCCAACTCGCAGGAGTAGGTCGGCAAATATCCGGATACCGATCCAACGCGCCAACTCGATGTGAATGTCCAGGAAGTTCCGGGGAGGCGCGCGGTTACCCAAGCATTTCACTTTCAACACAACCACTCCTACCAGCATGCTGCCCATCACGTCGTTCCCGCGCCGCTTCATCACGGCCAAGACCCGGACCAAGGCGCTCGTGGCGGCCATGGCAC